TAACTCCTTACCCATTCCAAAACAACACCCCTGATTCCATAACATTCCAGTTTTTTTATTAATATGTCATGATTAATTGTGTAGAATGCTTTTTTTATTTCAATGGGTCATGCAAGTGTTAGGGGAAGGGCTGACAAACACCTTTCCACAGGCCAGACACCAGTTTCATGTAGCTGACATTAAACCGTTTGACAAAAAAGTTAGACTAACTGAACTGATGAGATAGCTGCCATACACAAATGCTGACAATTAAGTGCTTACCATCGCCATAAAAAAATACCCAGAATAATGTTGTGAAAAATATTTTATCAATATTCAAAAGCCCTAGGTTGCAGACAAATAATTGTGTACTTTTTAAGTTATACATCAGTGAATGTGGCATTACCCAGGATGCATTGGAAAACTCATTACTTCAGGGTCCTGTAGTATTTCTCAGCATATTTTCATTTGGACATGCTGACCTCTTGCTGTGTGTTTGTGCTGCGGTCAACATACCTGAGCCTCGTCCACGCAGCTGTAGAAGGCCTTCATCTCCACGGAGCACACACTCTCCACAAAGCTGTTCTGCTTCCAGCACGCCATCAGGACCGAGATCTCGGTGACACACGACGCGCCTGTGGAGAAAAAGACAGCTTTGACTGACTGGAGTTACCATCACCCCCCCGCCCTGTCCAATGATCACTGTGCAGCTCCAGTCAGAGCAAACACACACACACAAAGTCATAAACAGGATGTTTCCTTGTTTTACCTTCTGCTAAACAAACATAACGGAAATTTCAGATTTCGTTTAGCTGCTATGATGCTCAACACTGAGGAAGCTCTAAGGTAGACCTCTGCAGCAGGATACAAAAACTTTAAAGAAGTAGATCACACAAATGACCACTGTGCCTTATTCCCTTTATTATTAACATACTTTGGTTGTATGGTTGATGTGAGATAGTTATGAACAAATTGTTTATGTGAAAAAGCGTTTCTCTTTGACGATACCAAGCACATCTCTAGACAATAGTAACAAAATGGCTTGGCAGATCTGGACAGTGTTGGGGGTCATTAAGGATGCTGAGTCCCTTTCTGACATGTTCAGGATCAACAATGGCAGTTTTACAACATTTCCTGGTTTACAGGGCTTTCAACTAGACAAAAGAGGCAAGTGTTAGATGGGCGATTGTCAATCAAATGAGGGACATTGTCTCGATGTGTGGGATGCAGGACAAATGATAAAAATGTGCAGTCAAAGCAGGCCACCTGGTCCCATGTCATCCATACTGGATGACCTGATGTTATGAAGTGTGCTGTGAAACAGACAGCCCCCCCCCTCACCTCCTCTCTTGACCCTGCGGTTGGCCACCTCGTCCTTGAGGACCAGCGGCTTGTTGGGCTTCAGCACCGGTCTGCCGTGCTGCTTGCTGAGCAGCCGGCTGACCTTCTCCTGGAACAGAACACCGCGCTGCGCCGCCATAACCCGTCTGTTCCCGGCCTGACCCGAGCGGAGCGAGAGCCGCTGCTGCTCAGACTCTGTGTGACCGGGAGGAGAGGGGAAACCAACACAAACAAACCGTCTTCAGCACAACGACTCACTCCTTCAGCAGGCTCTACTGTGTAGCGCCATGTTTACCGTTAAACCCAATTCAGTGTCGTAAAGCACAGAAAAGTGTACTTCCCTTACGACACATTATGAAGACAAGCGGCCAGTGCTGCATTTAGGTGCTGTCGTAACTCTCACAACTTTAGTAAGACACGAGCAATCCGACAGTAAAAATGAATCAGTGAAGTGAAAGAATATGACAATAATTATAACAACAACAATATTAATATCATAATATAACAATAATCATAATAATAATCATTGTAATTATTATTATTATTAGCAGTAGTAGTAGTAGTAGTAGTTGGGTCAATATCACAGACCCAGAATAAAGTCACTTTGGTGTCCCCATCAGAATCACTCAGTTATCATGAACATGTAGCAGAATAATGAAACTCTGAGGTCTTATTATAAAAGGCCAAACATTTACACACATATCAGTACAATGATGGGTCTCTTGAAATGTGTTTCCTTCATTTTATACCTTGTTTTTTCATTGGATCTACAGGATTTTGGCATGTCCCACACACTTCACTGCTAACCACAGTGTGTGTAATAAGTGGTTAAATGATACTACATTTTTTTTAAACGATATGGTTTTATTGTCCACAACGAGTTATTTGATAACACGTCATTTTGATCTTGTATATTCTATTTTCATAATAATATTGAACATTTTGCGTGTGTCCCTGACATTGCTGTCCACCCTCTCATTATGGGGTAACTGTCCCTATAAAAACATCTGATTTTTTCAGTGACATTACTACCACCATGTTGTATTCTTCAATGGAGGCTGAGACAGTTGCAGAAGTTTAAAGTATTTAAACTTATATTTCGTAATTGTAATCATATTATGTGTGTAGTTGGATGTTGTCAAGCTTAACATGTCCACTATGTCACAGTGAAATGTCAATTAATGAAAAACCTTTTCAGAAATTCAAAATATATTTGTTAAACAGTACACAGTCACCTTGCTAACTGAATCATGTTGCTAACTGAAGGTCCACACTGTG